ATATATATAGTAGTAAAAAACTAGAAGGGGGGAGACCCCTCCTCTTGGGCAGCAACTCTAACCCAGACCAAGGGTCGGGCGGCCCTTGCAGCTTCCTTTTTGAGCCTTGCATCACACTAAATGTGCCTATTCTTTCATAATTATGCTCCTCTTTTTTCTTTTTGTGACTTTGTTATACCTTGCGACAATATGTGAAGTTTGATTTGTGCATTGCTTCACAAATAGATTAAATCTCAAAATAATCCTTAGACTCTTTGCTTGTGGCCAATAGTCATATCCACATGGATTGTGGATATGAGAGATGTCACATCTCATAACCATTGGGTAGACATACCTTATTGGAATGATTTCAAGACATTTGCATCGGAAATCCCACAAATGTTAAGGAACTGATGGAAGATTGACATGCATACCTCGTAAATCTTATGTATTTACATATCTAATACATAAACTTTATTTTTTGCACTTTCTTGTGAGGTATTGGATGCAAAATTTGAAGAGGTGAAAAAAGTAATGGTTGCAATGTAAATACGTTTAACTTTGTTTGGTTATCAAAGTGAGAATATATTTATTTTGTCTATGGATTCATGATATTTTTCTTCAAAAAGTTACTCTTTTTGAGATGTTGCAATGTAAATAAAGATGAAAAAAAATACATGTACGTGTTCTCATTCCAGGTGGATATCAATATAGTATTAGTTTGAATGCTGGATGATATTTGACTGTTTCCATCTAAGATTATTAAACTTTGAAAGATATTTGATGTTTGGAAAACTGCTTAGTGGCACTTGAAATAAAAAAAGGGAAATTTATACTCATACCACACAATTCTAATCTGCTTGCATATCTAACACTCAAAATTTTGATATTTACACCTATAACATCTTGGTTTCATAAATGTATACATGAAAAGGTATATGTCACTTTTAAAAAGATAGTGATGCTGATATTTTTTTATGTGATGTTAAAGATTTGAGTGGTATGTTGCACATTATATAGATAGAAATATCAGTTGATGTGGTATATATATATAACTCAAACAGGAGAACGATCGACAAAGCGAAAAATAGAACGAGAAAAATTACACCAGAAAAAAACACACAGATTTACGTGGTTCGGCACGGAGTTGCAGAGGATTTTACTACTTGAGGAACTTACACCAGTCGATCACCTCGACTTACAATAGGAATCTCTCACTCTCACTTTATTGCTCTTGTTATTCTTTCTCTGTTCTTCTCTCTCTACATTGAGATACACTGAAGAAACTCCACACCGTGATACACCGAAGAAGATAAACTTACAAGAGAAATAAGCCCAATTTCTTTTGTGCCACAAGTCACCAAGAAGAATTTAAGGGAGAACAATCTTCTTCTTCTTTCTTCTTCCTTCTTCTTCCTCTACCGCAAGGAACTACTCCTTGCACTTCTCTTTCACTGTCTCGTGGAAGTCCGAAGAACTCTTCCTCTATCTCGATAAAACCTGAAGAAGAAACACAAAACGTAACTTAGGAAACTCTCTCTCTTATGTTCAACTTAAAGGAGACGGAAGGTGGGAACAGTTCGCGACAGCAGGGAGGCGCGACTCTTAGCGAATCGGGACCAGGGAGCGGCGGTTATCGCGAAACCGCAGGTCGCGGTCGGGAGAGCGGGAGCGGGCGATCGGGAGTGGGATCGCGACAATTCATGATCGGGAGCGGAGCGGGGTTGGGGAGGCGTGGATCGGGCTCTAGCGCTTAACATGGTATGTATGTAAGTATGAATGTTTAGGTGTTAGATATGTAAATACCTAAGAACTGTTTGGTTTGATGTAAATGCCCCAAAAAATGGTTCTCTTATATTTATAGTCGCTGCAAAGTAATTCTACCTCTTATATAGCTTGTTCACTGTTGGGAAGCCAAAATGCTCTCGCCACTGCACTGTGTTCAAACCATTCAATGGTACCTTGCCAGATATTCAGAAATCTTCATGATATTTGTGCTTCATTAAGCGATTGCTTTATCATAATTATAACCAAATTGTTATGGAAATTAAACGTTGGAATTTGAAAATTGCCATGTCTCGCAATTATTAATTTAATAATAATCCTTGAACTACAAACACTAGACATCAATATCGATATAAGATGGTGACGTTAGTTTCAAGTATTATTTTTATATCAGACCACATTTTCATTCTGATTTTCTTCGTCTCTGGGCTTAAATTCATCAAAATGGGTGGTTCCACTTGCATCTACAGATACATTTTTCTGTTGTGCAATTTGAAATTGATATACCTTAGTGTGGGCTTATGGCTTTTCTATTATTAAATGCTTGTAGTTTATTTTTGAAGGACTTCCTATCTTCATCAAAACATGTTGAAGAATAATTATATGGTGCTTTTCTGTCCTGTTCTATCATTTAATATAATGGTAAACAGAAAAAAAAATTCTATTTCACCTGAAAGTTAGCAAATTTTCTGTTTAAATGCTTCTCTTTTAATGAACTTTGTGTTTCAGGGAAGCAATGATTCCTTGCATTTTGCTGGCTTTGGGCGGTAATCTTATTGATGGTATGTGAAGCTTTCCTCTGAGTTATAATCTGATCTAAATTTCATGATGTGTTAGCTTAAGATGAAAGAGTACAACACTACTAAATAATTTCATTTATGGAACTTTCACTGTGTTCTTTGTTTGGTCACTGTGTTGTGGACTCTTCTATTATACTGATGGATTTGGGCAAAGTAGTGAAAACAAATAAAAAAGGTAAATAAGAAAAAGGTTTTGTTGTTTAGTTGCATGATGTAAAGCCTTTCAGTGTAGATGTGATATATCTTTTTTTATCCCCTTCAAATAATAGTGTATAATTTGTTAACTTGGAAGCCTAGAGTTAATTCACATTCTTACAGATATTAAAAAAGGTTTTGTGACTCACTATGGGCTTCTTATAATAGGCAACCAAATTGTAGCGTAATAAGCTAAAAATGGAAGGTGCATGTATACTTTACTGTGCTCAAGGATTGTGTATCCGCATCCCTTCTTCCCAACACCCTAAAAAATTTAGGAAGATTTACATACATACCACTCGCTTCCTACGTATTTACACATCTAGCTCCTAAATTTTAATTATCAACTATGTCACCTTTTCTATGATTGAAAAGTCTGACATTTTAAAAGCTAAATAGGGGTATTTTTGATGTGATATGAAAGATTTGGGTGTTATAGATGTAAAAAGTAAAGATTAGGTGTTAGGTATTTAAATATATAGGAATTTGGTGGTATGTATGCAAATGCCACAAAAAAATAATGCCAACACACCCACTTTTAAAAAGAGAAGAGGAAGTTTTTAACAAGTTGGAAAAGAATGTGCTGGTGCTTTGATTATTTGAGGTGGTGTCAGATACATTATCAAATGTTTTCTATATATTAATCTCATATAATCTAATGAAACCAAACTGAGTTCAGGAAGAATATTATTAAAGATTATCACCAATTTTCAAATTATGAACAAGCAAAATGTACTGAAAGGGGATATTTTTGTATCACAAATTCATTCAGGTCCAGGTGTTGGAAGTAGAAGGCTTGGCTTCCGCACAATGGCTTCCATAGTATTTGCACGCTTGGTCCTTATTCCTCCTGTAGGCCTCGGCATTGTCACTTTGGTTGACAAGCTTGGGTTCATCCCAAATGGTGACAAGATGTTTAAATTTGTTCTTTTGCTACAGCACACAATGCCCACTTCTGTGATCTCTGGTATAATCTTCTCATCTTCTTAGTTTTTCTGTAAAACCAAATACTTAGGTCTTTTCCCAATGAAGACCTAATGAATCATCATTTTACCTTAAAATTCTAACTGCTTATAATTCTATTCTGGATATAGGTGCTGTTGCAAATCTGCAAGGGTGTGGGAAGGAAGCTGCTGCCGTCCTGTTCTGGGTTCATATATTTGCAGTATTTTCCATGGCTGGATGGATTATTCTATATTTGGCGATACTCTTCTAAAAGTCCTATAAGCTTCTTAGTAAGATTCTTGCATAAAGGGCTCATTATTTTGATAATTTACATGAAACGCATCCACTCTTCTTGTCTTTGAAAGTCATGTCTGCACAGAGAATTGGCTCTGGGAAAGGATAAGTGGGAATTTGTTGAAGATAGTATGATATAATGTTACTCATCTGAGTTTATGAAATATGCTAACAAGTATGATTTCCAAGTTTGTTTTATTTAGATTCTAGTATTGATAAAGGAGCTATTAGCTGGACTTCCGCTTCTGACATCTTATCAACTCTAATGGAAGGTTTACATTCATACCACATAATTCCTATGTATTTACGTATCTGACACCCAAATTTCAATTTTAACATACATGCCATGCCACCTTGTCTGGCATGAAAATGTATATTTCACTTCTGAAAGTTAAAATGGTGGTATTTTTTGTGATATGAAAGAATTGGGGTGATTTAAATGTAAAATGACCAAGTTTTGTTGTTAGGTATGTAAATACATAGGAATTAGGTGATACGTATGTAAATGCCCCAAACTTATTTAAAACTAAACTGGAGCACAGCAGTAGCAGGCCACGATTACCCAGATTTCTTGTCATGGTGGGTTCTTTTAGGTCCAATCATTCCATTATTTTGTTGTGTATTGAAGAAACTATTCTGAGAAGCAAAAGCAATCCCTGCACCAGAAAAATTCTGTACGTCTGCTCCATTACCTAATAAGTTTTTCTTAAAATCGATAAAGGTTATAGTTGCAATTAATTAAATTAGTATTGCCAGGTTTTTAAGAGATTAATTACTGTGTGAAAGCCATTTCTTGCTTTGAATGTTTGGTTGAACTTTTGATTTCTGTGTTTTTTTTTTCCAGTTATCATTTTATAAAATTTGTTTTAGGGAGCAAAGTTATCAAGTTCTTTCCAGCTCTCTTTACTTTTTTTGATTCTGTGTTTGGCTGGATGGATGGATTTATAGCTGGTTGAATGAGAACTTGAGAAATGGATGGACGAGGATCGTTGATTTGTAAATATCAATGTTTCAGGTGCTCTGTAGGTAATTATCTTAAGCATATATAATGTGAATAAATATAAAACTCTTAACGCCTTAATTATGATCTCCTTGAATTTGAAGAATATATCATCTCTTTTGAGTAATTTGAGAATTAGTAGTGATTCCTAGATCTTGATAAATGGGAGGATTCATCTCAAATTAGCTCAAGTTTTGAGAGGCAATAATTATTTGTTCGTTGAAAAAGCAGAGATAATAAGAAATTTTTAATCACTCATTTTCAATTTCAATTAAGAGTAGTATATAAGTCTACTTCTCTCATGACAGGTACCGTATCTAATATCTCTGTAGGGTGCTTTCTGAAAGGCGTGGCCTTTACAGGCCTACATTTGCATAAATTCATAATGGAAGATTTACATGCGTACCACACAATTCATATGTATTTTTACATATCTAACAACTAAACTTCAATTTTACATGTATGTCATCTTACATACACATGTAATTAACATTTTGAAATGTTAAAGTAATGGCATTTTTGTTGTGATACCAAATATTTGGGTGATATAGATGTAAAAAAAAATAAAATTAAAATTAGATATGTAAAATCATAAGAATCTGAAGATATGTATGTGAATCATAATAAAAATTAGCAACACATTTCTCTAACACCGCAACGTAAAGAAACGTATCAACAGCTTGATTGGCAATTTATGAACTCTAATGATTTAAGTAATAAGAGTTTAAGATTTTATATATATGCATAAATTTATGATTGAAATTTGCTCAAATTATAAAAACTTATGTGAACTATCATCCTTGATATACCTAATAAGTTAATCCTTCTTTAAAGCTATTTTGTTTAGTTAATGTTGCTAAGTGTTCCAGAGGGAGGAGGGAAAGTATTACAGCAAGTTGTAATGTTTTCAATTTACTTGTTCTCCTTTTATTTGGTATTATTAAATAGTAACAAGTATGATCGTGTTACATGTTATAGTTTTAGTTAAAGGTTATATCAGATAATGCCTTTATAGATGTGTAGCAATATATATGGGCTTGGGGAACTTATGTTAGAGGTAACTTATATTTGATACTCTATTTGCATAAAAATTATAAAAGAAGGATATTTTGTTTGCTTTCTCCTTTTCTTTTTGTCTTGTATTTTGGGTTGCATCAGATTGGTATAAGATCCTCATCACGGATGCACGCGAACGACCTATTAGTGAAGATGTTCGTGAGTGGGAAAACATGCTAGAAGTGTTAGCTTTTCTCGACCGTAGATTGGACAAGCTCAATCAAGGGTTTCAACAGTTTTTGTTGAAAACAAAACGTAAAATTCGATCGCTAATAAGTGGGGAGATATTCATTCCAACAACCGCATTGGAAATTCTGGCAACCAACTAGGTAATGAAGACCCCTTCCTGTTTAATTAGGAAATTAGGAGATCCCTACGACCTAATTTGATTCCAATTTATTGTACATAATCCAAGGTAGGAAGAAACTCATTCTGTCGAGGGAAATATGATGATTTTGATTCAAAAAGTGAAGTGGAGACTTGGCATAAACCTCAGTTGTGATGAAGTTCTGAAAATTATAACCATGTGAATTTAGAGTAAAATTGGATATACCATATTTTGATGGCCACACATTCAGGATTATTTAGATTGGGAACAAGCGATTGAATCATTTTTTGAGTATATGGATATACCTCTAGATAAACAAGTGAAGTATGTGGCTTGCTAATTGAAAGGTGGAGTCAAAGTGTATTGGGCTCAATTATTGTGGATCCTAAGCGAGAAGGACGATCAAGTGTGAAAAGTTAGGCATCTATGAAGCAGTCGATGAGAGGACACTTCCTTCCTACAGATTATTAACAAATGTTATATTTACATTATCAAAGATGTGTCTAAGGCAAGTGAACTGATAGTGCTTCTATTGAAGAATTCTATCAACTTAGTGCATGAAATAACTGAACGAAACTGAATATCAGCTGGTAGCAAGTTACATGGGGAGAATTAAAGATTCTGTTCAAGAGAATTTGGAGATGAACTCAATATGGTCTTTTTCGTAGGCCATCTATTTTGCATATAAGACTAAACTTCAACAATCTAGACAACCAAACCTCTTTATATGGGACGAGGAACAACTAAATCAACTATAGATTAGAACAAAGGAACTCAAACTCTCAAAATGACCTCCCTTCAAGGCCAAACCAATTTGAACCACCCACAACTGTTAAGGTAAAGTCTAATTATAAGAATTTTCCTAATCGAGATAATGCATATCAATGACTTGGACCAAGAAAAAGCTTTAGATGTTTCCAACCAGGTCACGGATACAATGAGTGCCAAAATAGAAAGTAAATATAATTTTTAGAAGTGATCAAGCAGCAAACGGAAGCTCCAAGCTACCATGTGTGAATGAAGAACTAGAAGATTTGTCTAAAAATGAAGGAGAATTTATATCTTTTACTCAAGGAGGTATTACTGACTCCTTGTCGTAACAACTACACTCAAAGGCAGTCAATATTCCAGCTTAGATGTACTATTGGAGGTAAAGTATGTGATCTTATTATTGATAATGGGTGTACTGAAAATATTATTCCTTCTAGAGTGTTAAAGAACTACAATTAAAAATCACCAAACATTCATAGCCTTATAAAATTAGCTGAGTGAAATGAGGGATTTTAATTTATGTGAATTGACGTGGAAACTTTCATTCTTCATTTGGAAACAATACGATTGTGAACTTTTATGTGATGTCATAGACTTGGATGTCTGTCATCTTATTTCAGGTCGACGATGGCAATTTGATGAAGGGTTTTAGTAATATGGAAGAATAAATGCTTATGTCATAGAACTTAAAGGCCAGAAGTTGAGACTTCTACCAACAAATGACTGTCATAAACAAAAAAATTGCTTCAGTGGCCTTCTTATCATTTTTAAGAACTCAGTTACTTCATGAGTACAAAATTGGAAATAAAATGTACTTAGTTATGTCACATAACAAAACGTCAACTCAAAGAAGATGCCATACTACATCGATGAATTACTACAACAAATTGAGGATTTAATTCCTAAGGAATTGCTGGATAAAGAAAACTTCAGCGGCAGATTGACTTTGTGCCAAGTTCTACATTGTCGAATTTGCCACACTATAAGACGAGTTCTGGAGAACAACATCTTTTACAAGATTTGGTGAACAAACTGAATAAAAAGTAATTTATCCAGCCTAATTTGAGTGCATGTGTCATGCTGGTCATAATTGGTCCAAAGAATATTGGATAATGGTACTTATGTATTGACAGACGAGCCATCAACAAAATCATAACTATATTCAAATTTCATATGCCTCAATTAGAAGATTTATTGGATTCTTTATAGGGTCTCAAATCTTCTCCGTGTTGGACTTACGTAGTGGTTATCATCATATCCAAATCTGACCAAGAGATGAATAGAAGATGACTATTAAAACCAAAATTGGCTTATACGAATGGTGACTCATGTCGTTCAGCCTTTACAATGCACCTAGTACCATTACGCATTCATTGAATGAGGTTTTAAAACCATTCCTAAGTAAATTTTGTGGTGTATACTTTGGTGATATTCTTGTTTATAGTCCATCATTAGAGGAACATGTGCTTCCTCTTTCAATACTTTTTATGACTTTTCAGAGATTAGCAATTATATCTAAACATTTTCAAGTGTGATTTTTTTTTTTGTCGCAGTTGTACATCTCCTCAATTATGTGGTAAGTTCCCGAAGCATTCATATAAATTCTAGCAACATCCAGACTATTCGATATTGGCCAACTCCAAAATCCTTCACTGAAATATGCAGTTTTCATGGATTGACAAACTCCTATCAAAGGCTTATTTGACGATTTAGCATTATAATGCCACCTATTATGGACTATTTAAAAAGTAAAGTTTTCAAGTGAGATTCAAATAGATAATCTAGTTTTGACAAAATCAAATAGTCCTCTATGAGGCTGTAGTACTTGTTATCTTAGATTTTGAAAAATCGTTTGTGATGGAATTGGATGCATTCGTTGTGAGAATTGGTGTTGTTTTATCACAAAGTAATAAGCCCATTAAATATTTTAGCAAAAAATTAAGTAATGTTCAACAGAAATGTTTGACAATCGAACAAGAACTGAATGTTGTGTTTTGAGCTCTCAAACATTGAGAGCTTTATTTGTTTCACCAAGAATTTGTGCTTTATAATGATCATGAGTCCTTCCAGTTTCTACAATCTCAGGAGATGCTGAGTAGAATAAACATGAGGTGAATTATGTTCTTACAAAAACTTA